AAACAAGTGCATCGCATTGTTCCTTTATATAACATTGATTGCATCTGGACGCGCCTCATCGTGCATGACCACTAAACAAGGGTGGAGGAGAAGGTTGTAGGTTTTGGATTTATTTGCAGGAAATGTTCACTGTGCGTCCATCATGCCCAAACGGAGGACACAGTGGAAAACACCACAAATGTAATAAGAATACGGCATATGGGATCTGTACCAAAAAAAAGTTTTCCGTCTGTAGAATATGATGTTTAGGACACCTCTGTAGCATCAAAATGGTAATTTAACATACATTTCTTCTTTAACAAATATTCGCCTCCTGTGATTTGAAAATTGCAGTCTGGGAAATATTGCGATTTTGATCAAATTCTGATTATTTGTGCAGCCTTTTCTCATACAGGCGCGAAACGGTGCCTCGTTGCTTCACTATCAGACACAGAGGGGGAACCGACCAAGCTGCTTTGACGTTAGAACAGGTTGACATGTAACACACACTGCCCCCCCCCAAAAAAAAGAGACAAAGTAAAGACTGTACCGCAATGTATCGAGTTTTATGTATACAGTACAATGTACTTATCATGTATCGATGATTTGACAATACCATTGTGTTGTGTCTTTTTATAAAATTATGTCCAAGTGAATGATTTCAAGGAAAGAAATTTAAACAACATTTACATATGTGACCAGCGGATAACTCGTGATTATTCAAAAACAAGTCAGCTGGAAGCTAAAAAGTCCATTAGAGACAGTTTTCATTTAACTCATGGAGCTAGAGCTACAATGCTAGCCAGCTACAGCTGATCAACTGTGCCAGTGACATGGAATAACTAAGGGGGCTGGGGCTTCGCAAACTTTCTGCTAATCAAAGTTATTCACCATGTTTTCAACGTGATTATTAATTGATTCTGCTCTATAGTTGTTATTTAATATTGACGATGAGGCCATATCAGGATGGGTGGGATTTTTCTCACCCTATCCCGGAAATTTGGTTGCTCGCCTGTATTGTTTTGGACCGGTACTAGCAGTACACACGCTGCTGAGTACATCGCCGCCACTCAGCCGCTGCTACGCGGGCAGACAGCTCGGCGACTTTGATTTAGTTTCTGGCAAAATTTTGTGAAATGTTTACACAAACAGGCCAATTTCCTGCATACGTCTCCGCTTGTTTTTTGAGTGTGAATGAAGTGTGTTTTACAACGTCCACACATTGGGGTTAGCCAGCTGTTAGGTTATACGTTGGATCACACGATACAGCAGTGGTCACCTGCTCTCTACTGAGTCCACCTTTCTAGTTTCACCGCATGCAATTGCTTAAAGAAGTAATGCACGAAACCGTATTGACCGGGCTCCCACGGGTGTTGTGACTCTTGCATCCACAAATCAGTCAGCAGTCAGAATGTTAAACAAAATGCTGCTGTTGTAGCCTGTCTGGCCTCTGCAGTAAAAATGGATCAGCGCCTCCCTCCAGCTTCGTACGTATTTCTATTTCTTTTGTCAACACAACTGTTACAGTAAAAAGACAGTTGGAGCTATTAGTTGAGAGTTTGGCTGACAGAGTAAGTGTTCCCTTTGCAGTCACATTTCCACTAAGAAAACTCTATGTGCAAGCTGCTCAAGGCTCTTTGGATAAAAGCACTCACCTAATGGCACACACAGTGAAGGGGTTAAACTTGGGAATGAGGTTATTAAGATCTGCACGTCTGCTCTGAGAGGTAATGAATGAACCCCCTGCTGAAATATACTGAATCCACCAGCATAAAAGGTACACCCTTGTGCATAAAGGTACATGATTTATCTTCACTCTGTCTCTCTCACAATATTGCTATGTAATGCTACAGCTACGAACACCTTGCATCATGACTCTGCATGATGCCGGCACTTCAATGTCACCAAGGGTCCGGTTTCTTACCAAAACCTCAAATAATACAAAATGAGAGATGGACAAGAGATATACAAAGAAGCCCATCCCTGGATTTAAAGCTACATGACACCATTTTCGAGAATAGAATGATGCGGTCTAAATTAGAACACAGGTGGGGGTTTTTACCTCCTCAAATATAAGTTCAAATGTAAGTTTCTGAAAATCCCTGAGAACTATCTGTCGCAAAGGCATATTTCCCAAAATGTGTTACAAAAGAGTTTTATAGGAAAAACAGTTGGAGAACATTGTCTATAATAATGATAATGATATATATATATATATATATATATATATATATATTTATATTTCAAATCAGAATCAAAATGCAACCTTTGAAGTTCAGATGACACATTTGATGATTTGAGGACCCCCCCTGAAAGCGAGATGGTACATCTCAAGAGGTTATTCCTAATAAATAATTTATTTATAAACATGATAGAAGGAAAGAATCACTGCTTTGAAAGAGCCAGACATCCCCACTTGTGATCAGCTTTCTAAATGCACTGCAATCCAGCTTCCATCTGCAATACAAACACCACGATGCAGCAAACGCACTTATTGGCTCACCCTACCGTCCGTCATTATATGTTTTGCTGCATTTAATCAGCGGATGCCACTTTTTAAGAGGCATCTCTGTGACCAGATGAAGGCGATTGCTGGACACCGGTTACCTGACATCCCCCCCCTGTATACGTCAAACTCCGAGTGCATAACCACCAGTGGAACAAATACGCACACAGCTCTGACGCTCCACATCATAAACTCAGTTTGACCAAATGTCATCAAACACATGATTGAATGACACGGGCTGGTTTGTACACGATGTCCCACAAAACGTCCACTCTGCTGTTTTTAGATTGCACGCAGCCGCGTCGGCTCAAGGGCAAGCGGGAGCCCGGGATTTAGCCAGCGATACTCCCAGAGAGAAGGCAGCGGTTATCGGCACGAGGGGGGCGGACATGATTCTTCCTGGCACACGTCAGGGCTATGGGGCTGCGACATCACATTAAATAAACACCATGTTCTGCTGTGGCGTTGACATCCAGAGCGCCTGCAGGTACCAATACTGGTAATTGAAGGGGGGGGGGGGGGGGACAACGCTCGGCCGACGTTTTACGCCATTTTCCCCTCTCATTTACCGGACAGAAACACGAGGATATTATTATCTTTGGTTGAATAAATAAAGCATGTACTGTATAAATATATGTCTATCTTACCCGGGCCGCCATCTTCACGGTTGCAGTAGTTCAGGGATGCAGCTGGGGTCAATGATTCACAGGACGGCTGAGGGGACGGTGGACGGGACAGGCTCGGCAGCAGATGGGTTTATAAGCTGCAGCGCACCTCACTCTGATTGGCTGACTCGGGGCGGAAGCTCTCCGATTAGCTCGCGTGAGACAGTGAGGGGAGGAAAGGGGTAGGGGGGGGGGGGGGGTCACCCGTCTACGCGTCTCTCCGTGATCCTCTGCCGTGCAAAAAACCCTCACGTGGCAGACTTACATGAGTCAAGTGGGGAAAACACATTAGACATGGGGCTCACTGTTACAGTATATGAGCCTAAAATATCGTCGTGATGCACATTGGCACGTGCGCGCGCATTTGACTGGACTATCCTCCTATTTTCATTGATGATTAAAGCCCACTGCAGAATAAATGTTAATAAATCCAAGCCGACTTGAATTTTATAACTGAAACCACGACATGTTTGTTCGAATTAACATATGTTCATTTCCTGTCACTTATCATCTTTACCTGCTATTTTATCCCTATGGTTTGCGCAAAAAACACGATCTTTTATTTTGGTAAATATCACCTCGTTCTCTGCTTCAGCACCACGGACAGCGCCCCCCACCGCACAGACTGTCTCCCTATCTGAGAGGCTCTGTGCTGTCGCATAACAGTAACATGATCCTGCTGGGACAAGGAATAACAGTATAGTCTACATGCTTCTATATGGACTATGAAGTAGGGAGTGGAACAGTAAGAAACACCATGTACAGGGGAATATAAATAGACAGCTGAACACAATAAGAACAATTAGATTGGAGCGCCGCCCACTGGTGGCTGACCAATTCAGCACCATGGACAGCAACATAGTGAAGATAAAACATCCAGTTTGTTGTATTTTTGCCTTTTTGTCTTTCTATTCGTCTCATCATGTTTTTACTTGCTTATTGACACTGGTTTGTTGTATGTCTGTGATATACATATTTGAATATTTATTTAATTTCTCACTCCATATTTTGTTTTTCATTACTTATATTTTCCTCAGATATTGTGTTATATATTGTAGCATTATGCACACTATGTTTACATAATCCTTTATTTTGTATTTTTCTTATGTTCCTTTATACTTATAAAGGAACCAATTCCGCCCTGTTGATCAATTATATATTTCTTATTCTGATTTATGATATCTGATAATAGTTATTTTAAACTATAGCCTTAACGTTTGGATTTTGTAACTACTTGTTGATTTTGTTTTTATATCCTAGTTGTAGCAGTGAGAATTGCCGTTAGAATCTGAGATCTAGTGTCTCTAAGATTATTTCAGCTGTAGCAGCCATGATGTCATCATTACATATAGTAGGATTTATAAGACACAGTAAATCTAGGCTTTAACTGGCAGATACATTTATATATTGTACAATGTAAAATGATCAGTACAGTATCTATGATAAACATTTCAGTGTATGTATAGGTGTGTGTTGAACTTTTCCTGGAGCGTGCCGCCATCGCCTTGCAGCACTTGTTAATATAATTTCAGCACTCCCAGCTAGAATTATATCCACCCTTGACGACTCTCTCGGTGTGTTACAACATCAATCAACACTACGCCCGCTTAGGTGCTCCAGAGTCAGCAAGCAATAAGTACTTTATGGGGCTTCTTCCCGGATAGGAGCTCTCAAAAACTCCCCAAATACCACTTCATCCCTGAATCAAACACACTCCCCAGCAGCCTCACCTGCAGCTCGGTGTGGCTCACTTCAATAACTCAGTGCTGCCTTACTGTGGTCAGACTAAGAACTGTCTCTATCGATCTATAAAATCACATGACCTGAAAATACAAAAAAAAGGAACGCCATGCTTGTAAATGTTTTTTATATAAAGTACCTGTAACAGTTGATCAAATGATTCTTATTTCTCACATACATATTCATACATCCACATTGTAACAGACTGCAGCATCAGCACTCTAGTGACACTAGTAGCCTTTGACTTTTGTTCAACAAAGATTCTTGTTTGCACAACGTGATTCACAAATGAAAAGGAAGGGAAAAAACATAATAACTTCGTCATCATTATCATAAGCTTCATATGTTACACCAAAGTTTTTGTCTTGTACGTGTTGCAAGATAAAATATGGCACATAGTTATGAGTTGATCAATGATGAGAGCATGTATAGGAGGGGGTGTAGTCAACCCGTACTTCCCTCTATACTTCAAGAAAAAGGTTCATTCAGAGGACATTTTTCCTTTCCTCGGCTCCTGTCCTTGCATCCTTGTCTCTTTTTTAATTGTCCCTGCACAGTTGGAAGGACCCGGAACACGGCGAAGTAAAAATAGTGAAAAATCTTTTTTTTTTTGCTCATCAGTTCACAGCAAAAATACTTAATCTCTCCTCTTGTCTGCCGAAAGCTGTCACATGGTATTGGATAGTCAAAACGTAATACTCCTGGGGTGAGTGGGGCTGTGTGTTGTGTACCTAGGGTGTCAAATTTGAATTTAATAGAAATAGTACAATTCACCGTTCGCTGAACCCCTTTTCAAGAGTTTAAAAGGTTGTGTCCTTTTATTCTTTAAAAGAAAAACTCACAAGAGCTGCTGGCTTATTCATCTATGGCAGTAGTAACCTAGCTCTACTTAGGTTATAACATTAGAGGCTTTGTCCTGCTCTTTACTGGAGTAGGGGCAATTTATACTCCAGCAAAACCAAGGCAATTTTACTGAAGATAATGTTAGTTTTGTCAAACACTTTGGTCTTGTGACCTTGTGAAACAAAACCAGTCAAATCCTACTTTTTCCTTCTTATAATTACAATATCAGGACTAACTCTTTAGCATTTTATCATATAAGTGGCCATCAATTGTATATTTAACAGCCCTTTTACATCATTTTAAAATGAGTCAGCAGGAAACAATAAGAAAGTGACCCTCAGATGTAATTGCTAACCAACTCGTTGCGCTAACGTTAGCTTAGTTAGCTAGCTGCAGCTGATGAAGTCTGCCAGCGACAGTCGTCGTCAAACATTGACAGCTGACAAATACATCTAGCTACAGTAACCAACGGTGGCAGGGCTTAGTGACCGGTCAATCGAGCCTTAAGTTTTACCACAAAGAATCCAGGTGACAGTTCTTGATTTCAACATTCATCACTCCTCTATTAAATCTGGGCGATAGTCAAACCGCTGTCTTGCAGAAAAACACAAGTTGATGTTCGTCACTGTGACTTCTGTCAGTTTACCAAATCTCTTGATGTGATATATCTCCGTTCAACCAACAACCTGCAGTTTGGAATCTTTAAATACAACAAATTAAGAAATAAAATGATTATTCAACAGTCATCATAGGAATGCTACTTGTGTACTGTTCAACCCATCAGAAACAGCTCGGAGGAAGGACATGTAAATAAGCTTGTTTGCCCTCGATTCATTCTTCCTGTGCATATTTGTCTCATGAGGTCTGACTCTACATCAAGGCTACATTATCTTTGACAGCATGGTAGCTGCTCCAGCCCAGACGGTTTTCATCTGCACACAAAGTGCAGCCGGAGTTTAAAACATCACCTGCATCGTGGACACACCCAGTCTGGAAACAGACACCACATTTTGTTCTGTTAACAACCTTTTAAAATTCCCCCATTAGTTCAGTGTTGATCTTATCAGAGAGCAGGCCAAATCTCTTTACCATAAATTATAAATGTACTAACAGAGTGACTCCAATTTAGGCTTACATTTTTACAAAGTGACACATAAAACTTCACCGTGTGTTAAAATCACAAGATTTCCATTTCAATTCTGTGTCCTTTCCATCGAAAAAATGTTCCTTTTTTTTCTCGTCCAACATCTTCGATGCATGACAGAGCAACATTGTGAAAAAAAAGCTTATTCATGATTCCGCGATAGTCTTTTCTAGTTCACCAGTCAGACACTTGGAGTTGGCTCATGTTTCTTTGTGTGTTTTATAGGTTTTGTTGTACGAAATAATTAGTCTTTAGAATGATATGGCACAAGATCTCTGCCCTGTTTGAGAAGGCAGAGCTTTTTTAAACTTGAAGTGTTTTATTGGCTTTCGGTTAGACTCAGTGACGTGACGTCATCAAGGCGGGTAATCTCTTGAGGTACTCAGTTGATTTTCGTTCTTTTTTTACATGAAGTACAGTTGTATACTGTCTTGAGCTTTCCAAAGTTTGGAAAAATAAATCCTGATGATGTCACCAGTGTCATCTCTGCTTGGGCTTGAGACTTAAAACATGTTATCTGAAAGTCATTATTACAAACTGGAGGTGTGGGGTTTGTATTATGGGAAATGTAGGATCCACCATTGTTGGAGCTTTACCTATAATAGTGATTAAAAGTCAGGATATCTTGGCACCTGGAGCTTCAGTTTTGATCATTCTTTTAAAACATTGTCTCCTGTGAAGCCTCCAACTTTATTGAACTGCAACTCTTAAATATCCACTCAAACTGACTGACACTTGCATGGGTGTGGGAGTTTTGAAGGCTATTACTGGTTTCTGAAAGGGAGAACCATTGAATCTGGGAGGGTGTCTTTAAGACCCCTATGCACCATGGAACCAAGAACAAGAAGTCCTGCATAGGACACAACCAGCCTTTCACACATTTTCTTGTGCCGAGTTGCCTGGACGTCACATCACTGAGTCTAGCTTTCAGCAGTTCAGCGAGGCGACCGCTCAGTCTCTTCTGTAACATCAGGTGCGGTGTGCCCAACACAAAGCAGCATGCTAGGAAACCTATAGAAGCACTCATGCATGTCAAACAACTCTGTGAATAACTAAGCGATCTGGTCAACAGACCAGAGAGTCTCTAAATATGGGACACCTGGATTGGACTGGACTGGACCACACCAGACTGGACAGGACCAGTTCAGACCGGACTGGAGCAGGTGGAAAGAAAGAGATAATCGGTGTTGTTTTAGTTTGTTTGAAGAGTAACGAGCGGAGGAGAGAGGACAGAGGAGAGAGGAGGGGGAGGGCGACACTTCAAACAGCAGAGGAGGTCCCTCGAGCTGAGTGGCCGCAGCAACATCAAAGCGTTGTTTTGGAAATAAAAAGTCACATCTACACTTGTGGCGTCTGCCCACACACACATGGAATATAGTCACATCTTCTTTGATTCTGATGTGTGTGGCCATTGGTTGAGACAGATCACACGATCTACTTACTTTATGAATACGTCCTCCACGACCCAGCAGCACCAATCATTCATACAGTATGAAGCATACAAGATGAGCGCGGGGTTCTAGCTTTATTTGTTCTTTCTGTCTGTCTGTCTGTCTGTCTGTCTGTCTTTCTTTCTTTCTTTCAGTAAAACATTTCCATCTGGTCACCTCAGGACAGCACCAATGTGGACTACAGGAGGAAGTGCAGGGGATGAACAGGAATGAACGAAATAATTCTCTGTGTTAAATATGCCATGGAGGGGTCAGTATTGCATTTTCCCATGTTTTTGTAATTGTAAACATATTACGGAAGGGCTTGTTTAACGATTAATAATCTGTGCCCAGTGTGTTAGCATTTTCATACTCTTAAATATATATAACTGATCTCCCAATTCATAGCAGATTTGACTGGATGAACCCAAATGTTCCCTTGAAGGCGCAGTGCTTTACATAAGATGTGGATGAATTGATCCACTACAGTACAATTACGCCGAACAGCGACTTAAATTTCACAGTCCGACAGATTTGCAGACTAGTTGTGTTGTGTTTGATTCTAGCTCATCCATGTTGTGGTATCATTGGATGCTCTTAAAGGTTCAACAGTGGAGCTGGCAGCCAGTGTTGGTGAGTGCAATAAGCTTGGGCAGGACAATAGCAATAAGGTAAAGTGGAGTTGGCAATAAGCAGGTGGTCATGTGCAAGGACATATGAAGTGACCTCATGCAAGGTGGTTCTTGGTTTTCATCTCCGTGACATCTCTCTATAGCGGAAATGCCTGGATGTTATCACAGAATATCACCGTATCAATACACTGTATCTGTGTATTTAAAATATTCACCCTTAATTAGTAAAGCGGTGTTGTCTGGCGTTTCTAAACCCATTCATTTTTATCAAAAGACAGAAAAATACTTCAATGGGAGTATCAGATTGCATTTGTCATCTCACTGAAACAAGGTACAGGTCAGACCGATCCATGTCTCTGAGCCTAAGGCAAGAGATGAAAATTACAGATATCTCTTTCTCACAGCCTGGTAATGTCGCATCACCAACCCTGCTGGCCAGGCCTTTGATGAAACGTCTGTCAAATGATATCTCTGCCTTAAAGCTTGCTGTTGTCACGGCCTGAGCCAATTGTACCAGGTGTTTGGATATCAACAAGTAGCCTGACAGCCTTGAGAATCTAATCAGATCCAATCATGAACAATAATGTGGTTGATGATGGCGTGGCTACACCGCAGAGCAACCCTGATTTAATTTGCCTTGTTGTGGTAACAGGGCTCCGTAGGCCATTTGCTGCCTCATGTGAGACACAGATCACTTACTGCCTCTGTTTGGATCCTTACCAAACTCAAATTAATCAAATGCTGTGTTGAATCCCAGAAGCTCTTTGTTCTGGGTTACAAAACAAGGAATTTGGTGAATGATAAACTAGTAGAGACGCCAGACAACAGTACTGCTCCAATGTGTCGCTACGCTGCATTACATTAGTCTACCAGTCCTCAAACTACTAACTCCATACATTTTTCTATCCATCCATCCTTCCATTTCCCCTCCTGTTCCCTCTTATCGGTCAAGGCCTATGAGGAGTTTGGTCTTCTCCTCCTCTTTCTTGCTCTCGTTCTTCAGGTCGGCAAACACCTGGGTAAAGAAATGTGGGTCGGTGTTGATCTGGAGCATCTTGCCACTCATGCGGTTGATTATCTCAAGGCAGCGGTCCCAGAAGGCTTCCTTCTCCGCCTCGACCAGGAAGGGCTTCAGCGGGTAGGAGATCTCGTTGCCCATGTAGGAGTAGGACAGGTAGAGGCAGGTGAGAAGTGAGGCCTGCAGCTCCCGCTCTGAAGCCAGCTCGGATGAGACCACATCGCGGCACAGCATGTAGAGGAAGACCACATTGGCCGGAGTGATGAAGCCCTGATCCTGCCAGCCCTGCAGAAGGAGGGATCGGTCGACGCTGCGCAGCCACAGCACTGGATCTGTTGGGGATAGACGCTTCAGTCTGTAACACCGACGGCACAGGAACTCACCCAGGCTGCGCATCAGTTCGCTGGTGGAAGCCTGGGTTGCAAAGAAAGAAGGAAAGGTAAGAAAGAGGAATGCGGAAAGGATTGGTGAAATGAGGCAGCAATAACTAACTAAAGATGATAGAATGCTTTCTAAATAATCATTTAGCGACAACTTTTGTTTACAAAATAAGACCAAATAAGAAACCGCAGGATTACCTGGACAATGACACGTTTTGGTGTGCCGGTTGCAGTCGACGGCTGGACCCCGGAACCTGTGAGGGCATTCTTTTTGGCAGCAACAGTAGCTACGTTAGCCAAGGTCTTGGAGATTGGCAGGTGGGAGGAGGTAGTGGTGGTAGTGGCCGAGGGGTCTTGGCTAGAGGAGTAAGATGAAAGGTTAGCGCAGGACTGAGACTTCTTCAGCTTCAGGCTGTTGGAGGCTGAGTTGGTTGTGGCCAAGGCGTGGCCATCCGGAGAGCTCCCTTTTCCGCCATCCCCGCCGTCTGCCTGCAACTTCTTGGAGCCCTTCCTCTTCGCCGATACAGCCACAATGCGTTTCCATGGCAACACACTGATGATGGAGGGGCGTTTGAGGGATTTTCCAGCTGCTGTGGCGGCATCCTTGGCGTTCTTGCTGTTCTGGACTGCCGTATAATGGCCTACCGTGGCAGGGCCGTCCTCAAACAGCCCTGCCTTACGGTAGCTGGGAGACAGAGACAGCACCGTACCCATGATGTCTGCACAAGGGTTAGCAGTGGGACGGAGAAAGGGTGGAGTGGGAAGCAGTGGGGGGAAAGCTCCTTGACTGGTCCAGACAAAGAGCTTTGAGAGGACCAAAGTGTCTCACTTCTGGAGGAAGTCAAACCTGGGACCCAAAAACAAAAAGGTGTGGATATATTCTCCATTAGTTACATTACGTCTAGTAAAAACAACAAACACTTCATTAACGACCAAGATGATTAAAGTTAAGTTAAAGAAAGAAAACACTCAAGTTCCACTTACTAGCCTTTCCTGAAATGTTAAGTGCATCCTATTGTCTTTTTCAGGAGTTCAATCAATTGTCATGGAGATAGCTACACTCATTATGGGAGCTTTTTCCAGAGCTTTCGAGTGCGTCTCACGGTCTTCCTCAGAAGAAAAGATCACGAAATAGGTTGAAAGCTCGCAAAAAGCTAACACGTGGACTTTGAGTTAAGTTTTTAAACCACCGTTCTTTTAGAAAAGGAGTCAGAGAAACCTTTCAAGATTTTAAAAGGTAATTTTACAAAAAAATACCATTTACCTATGATTAAACATTAATTAATAGAACATTGCTTTATTATGTTTTATGATCTCTCAACTTGACTGACAAAATGTACAATCAATTCTATGGCATAATTTGATGGCATTCCTTCATAGTAAGCACAGATCACAGCACCAGTGTGATAAATGCCCAGCAGTCACATAAAGGAGTCTGTCAAAGAGAATCATGCCTTGGCTGTGCAACCTTGACTTTAATTTCCAATTGAGCCTTAGAGTCTGTGATTAAATATAGTTGCTGATATTTCTCTATATACATCACTGGTCACGTCAGCGTATACGGGCCTGACAAGGGAGTAAGTACCCACAATACAGTGTGATATTCCCTTGAAAAGGCAAACCCATCTCTGTCATGGTTCTCCTTATTTTGGGGGGGATTGATGAATTAATTAATTGAATTATATACTTATGCTCTACATAAACTATAAAAAATATATTCAAATAAATTATCTGTTTTTCTACAGGTATGCAATGATGATTGCTGGGTATTATGTGTGTTGATGTTGTCCAATGTCAAGTCTCTATGTGGCAGTAAGTAACTATAGGGCCCCCATCATAATAGTGTGCACTGGGGCTCGTATACCTTACATCGCTGGGGCCTGCAGCCGCTTCAGTGTCCGTCAGTATTATATAAGAACCAAGATAAGGCCACAGAGGCATGAGAAAGAAATGTGCGCAAGCATCCATCTTAGCTTCAAAATGGAAGCCTTGAAAACAGCCCAACAACACAAGGCAGCTTCATCAACATCAGCTTATAGGCCTGTGCTCTCACACACCCACAACCTCAACACAAGAAACATGATGCTGTGGCCTTTAATGTCTGTATGATCCATTTCTGAGCAACATGAATGATCTGAATAGGAATAATGGAGTCTATGTTGTGGCTACTCGTGTGGTTGTTTTATGTTTTATCATTTGCAAAGCTAGGGGAAAAAATGGTGTTGCTATGTGCAGCAAAACAATCCTTGATATTCCTACCTTCGAATTACTCGACTCGTCTTGTGAGATCCATGTATCACACCTTGACCCTCCCCCCTTGCTGCCGGGCAAATGCGGTCAAAACGTGGAAAAAATGCTTTCCATCCGTTCTGCTCGGTTCCCACACCGCCAACACAAGTTGTCCGGGGCGTGAAAACGGCTCGGTCCCTGATTATTATTAAAAAAAAGCCCCGACGTTACTGGACCGGACAGGTTTGTCTCCCCGGTGGCTGCTTTTATAGAAAGCCCTTCGGCTCGTCGATAGGAATACAGATGCGGAGCGAATGCGAAACGCACTTGACGCCTTCGCTCGCAGCCAGCAGGAAGATGTCTTCCATCGAGAAACGGAAAAATCTATAGGCCGACCGTCACGGCTATTAATGTCCCGCTAGGATGCTCGCAGCTTGGACAAACCTCCATCAGGCGTAAATAAAAACAGCGCATATCGCTCCTCATCGACACAAAGGCGCGCAACACCAAGAGAGCGAGCAGAGAAGAAGAAGAAGAAGAAAATGGCCACTACGTATTCCAAAAATAGACAGCAGCTTATACCCTCAGCTATATAAACCTGCCAGAGAGAGAGAGAGAGAGAGAGAGAGAGAGAGAGAGAGAGAGAGAGA